CTTTTTTTAAATAGCGGTTTTGTGATTGAAGCCTTATAATAAAAACAAAAACTTTGTTAACACCGTCTAAGACGATAAACTGATACGACTTTTCTTTTTACAAATCTGATTTTTAAAATAAGTTAGCTAAACCTCCCATTTCGATTTGTTACATGTTTTAAGTTTTATCCTGCATAATTTAAAATAAACCTGTAGCAAAATAATAAACTTACTTTTAACAATTTCGAAGTATTTTTTCCGATCATTTTTAAATATTAAAAAAAAAAGAATTTCAAATAACACCTTGGCATTATTTATCTGCGTATTACTTATAATCAAATAAAAACTTATGCGGACTATGGTGATTTGTTTATCGATAAAAAATATCGACATAGTCCACGGCCTACGTTGCTTACGCATTTGAACAGCGTCACCAGTGTGTCGACACCACAGAACACTCATACCCTTAGGCGGGTCGAGGCCTGGTCAACTCTGTATGGACAGAATGAAATACCTACGGGGGCTGAATTTTATTATTGCCATTTGTCAGATAAATGTCTTGTTTCATAATTAGTAAGATTTTGCTAAAGATAAATTACACTCAAAAATTTTGAATACAGAAATAATAATCCATAGGAAGATAACTATGCCTGTCGTATTTTTCTACATTATTATATTAGCATATCCTTGACAGTAAAAGAAATTACTGGTAGCACCAAATACCTAAATGAGTATAATATATTTCTCATTTCTCATAATATGGCGCCGCCGTATAAATTATTGTTGTTCATGATTGGTTATTATGTTTGTTTTGCTTGTGTCTTTTACTAAGATTTTGCAAGTTTACGATGTTGAGTTGAGATTAATGTCCTTCGTTTATATGATGTGCAATGTGTTAGTCAATGAATCGTAGTGAAATACGAAATAGTTACTTAAAAACTACGCTGCAATGGCGGATAAAGAAAATAGAAAAAGTGTTCTAAGTGCAACAGCATACCAACCATTGACAACATTAAATTATTTAGGTTTCCGAAATTCGCAGTAAAGTATATTTTGCGGTACGTATACGATATACATATACACTATTTAATAAGTTTTAACCTTTAAAGTAAATCTCTTGTCCAACTTATTGTTTCTCTTTTACCATTTAAAAACAAATTATTGGTTTGTAAACCATTGGACCTACTTTGATAATATTTATATTTAATAATTATATCTTTTGTTTTCAGCTGTAAATTATGGGTGAAATATTATATTCATTCCCAAGAGCAGTATACTACTTTAGCTTTCCAGACAAAGCTACATAATAAGCCCAGAATGCTGTGTGAAAAACATTTTCATGATGGTTAATTTAATGATGAAACCAAGAAAAAGCTCTATATTTCCAATATGGACCATCGATTTCAAAGCCCATATTTTTTTTGTAAATAGTACTCACTAAAAGAAAGCGTTTTGCAAAGTTTTAGGTTGCGGAAATTTACGGTTCATGAGATATATTTTTTAAACTTTTCATACAAATTGGTAAATAACACGCAATTACAAAATAAATTTCACAAATGATTGATGTCAAACGTCAGTTAGTGTAGGGTTCCGAATATTTTGAAAGTATCGATACCAAGTATCGTATCAAAAGTATCAATACTACTTGGTATCGAGTACATTTCGTTAATTTTGGAGACGAAAAATTATGACAAACCAATTAGATGCATAGGAAGAGCTGATAAGTGCAATTATATATGTATATAAAGTAGAATAAAGTTTTACTCTATTTAAGTTCCACCTTAGTACTTGTATTTCATTGTTTGCAACTTGTTTGTATTTATTAATTAGTACAGCTTTTGTACTTTTAGTTTATTGTTTGCAATTTTCTGTATTATCTAATTCTTACTACAACAAAAGTGTTTACTTACTTATTGAATTACTTATTTAATATCCAAAAAGTACCCAAAACCGAATCAGAGCACCCCACTATCCACGTGGTCTTGTCTGCCCTACCCCTAGAGTGTATATAAGGGCCCGGAGGCGCGGAGGGAGAGCAGTGCCAGCCCGCCGTAGGGAAGCGCAGGGACCGAGATCGCCGTAGCGGCTGAGGCTGGTCGCCGAAGGCGACCAAAAAGCCGAAGCTGCTAAGGCGAGCTCAGGTGCCTGCGCTTCCCTACGCTAGGGCGGAGGCACTGCTCATCCCGCAGCGCCGGAGCTGCCACGGAGCGCCGGAGCACAACTTCCCGGCTTCTTACCCCCCTAGTCTCGAAAATTAACGAAATGTACTCGATACCAAGTAGTATTGATACTTTTGATACGATACTTGGTATCGAGTACGTATTGATACTTTCAAAATATTCGGAACCCTACACTAATTGACGTTTGACATCAATCATTTGTCAAATTTATTTTGTAACTGGTGTAATTGCTTTTTTTTTTTTTTTTTTTTTTTTTGCGCCCGAAGCAATTAAAGGGCTACCCTGTACGTAGGGAGGCGGAAAATGCATTACGCATACCACGATAGCCGGTCTATCGTGGTTATGGGGGACTCACTGTCCTACCGGGGACCCTAAGTGATACCCCCTAAAAACCGCCTTTGGGGACAGGCAGCTGGCTGATTAAGCTCTATTGTGCCTTATCATGAGCGACCCTCTTTTGGGAAAAGAGGGCGCAGGCGGCTAAGAGCCGCTGAGGGAGTGCCTACGAAGGCAAAATAATATTAGTTGATATAGTAATAATTAATTTAATTAGAACTGGCCTGAGCCGCCAGGAGGCAGTTCAGGTCGTTTGACAGTTTATTTGGCGGGTCCAAGAGAGAGTTTCTCGGCCTGCGGACACGATAGCGAGAGGGGGTGGGGCTGCATAAGAAGCCGCCTCACGAATTAAATTGTTTGGGTGCGACTCTGAGGCTTTGAAGAAGTTCTCAGAGAGTTTTTTAAGGTACTGTTGAATTGTTGGGAGCTCTAAGTCCCGATGAAGGTCGGCATTACGGACGTACCAAGGTGCGTTCGCAGCTCGACGACAGAAGAGGTTCTGAACTATTTGGAGTTCATTTAATATGTTAGGGTTTGCGTGGGCAAAGACGGGGCCCGCGTAGGTCATGACTGGTCGTATACAGACCTTATAAAGGGTTCGCTTGTTCCGAAGGGACATTTTACTGTGTCTGCCCAACATACTGTTGAGCCTACTCAGGTAAAACCGTGCGTGACGGGTGACTCGTTTGACGTGGGGCCTAAAAGTGAGCCCTGTGTCCAGAGTGACACCTAAATATTTGGCTGTCGTGTGCCAGGGGACAGGGGTCCCTAGCATACGTATTGGAGGAGTGTTTTTAAGACGGCGTCGTTTATAATCGAAGTGAACGGCGGAACTCTTCTCCGGGTTCACATCGATGCGCCATTTTTTGAACCAATCTCCTAGGTCATCAACTGACTTTTGGATCTTGTTCCGTATGAAGGGTAGTGAGACACCTTTGCAGTAGATGGCAGTGTCGTCTGCGAAGAGGGAGAGTTGAACACCTTTCGACGGGATGGGAATGTCGTTGGTGAACAGGATGTACAGCAAAGGAGCAAGTACTGAGCCCTGAGGGACACCAGCCTTGATAGTTCGCTGCGAGGATAGCGTGCCTTCGTGTCTAAAACGAAAGGTACGATGCTTCAAATAGGAGGCCACGAGACGAACTAGACGATCGGGGAGACCTATTTTGTAGAGCTTGTAGATGAGGCCTGTGTGCCAGACTCTATCAAAAGCTTTGGCTATATCAAAGAAGACCGCGATGGTTTTATGACGTCGAGGATAGAAACCGCTGAGGATATATTCCACAATGCGGTGAACTTGTTGGGGACATGAGTGTTTGGCTCGGAAGCCGAATTGGTGGGGAATGATGAGAGGGTCACCGTCTGTGGGAAACAGATAGCGCCTCATCCGTGTTTGGATGACTCTTTCGAAGAGCTTGCCCATTGCCTTGAGGAGGCTAATGGGGCGATGGCTGGAGGGGGAGGTTGAGAGGCTTGCCTGGCTTGGGAATTCCAATCACAGTTGCCTCTTTCCACGTAGTGGGAAAATAACTAAGGTTGAAGCAGGCGTTGAAGATAATAGATAGAAAGGTTAACACCTGCTCGGGAAAGTGTTTGAGGGCTTGGTTGGAGATGCCATCCGCGCCCGGAGCCTTTTTAGGCTTAAGTCCTTTGATGAGGGATGAAATCTCATCATTGGACACAGAGATAGGTTCGGAGGCGGTAGGGGGTGAGTTCCGGCGGCGGACCTCATCCTCTACTGCCTGGACGTGTGAGGGGGGTGTAATTGCGTGTTATTTGCCAATTTGTATGAAAAGTTTAAAAAAATATATCTCATGAACCGTAAGTTTCCGCAACCTAAAACTTTGCAAAACGCTTTCTTTTAGTGAGTACTATCTACAAAAAATATGGGCTTTGAAATCGATGGTCCATATTGGAAATATTAACCCTTTAAGGATTACTCAGATATTTTATATGGGGATTACTATATTCAGGAGTGGACTTTGATAGACCGTAATGAAGATGATGATGATTATTCATATGACCATCATCTGGATCTAACATGGATGGACAGACCACATACAGTAGTTTGAATCCTGTTAATTGGATCGGACAAAGCATCCAAAGGATTGAAGTCTATAAAGTTAGCACAAGCCTTTCCTTACATTATTAAAAGTGCAACACACTGCATATTATTTTTAACAATGAAATTTTATTTTAAAACAACAACAAACCTTAAGAAAGTTCCGGCATCACAATATATGAATAATTACATTTGGTCCTAAACCTATCAAATTTAAAGGCACAACTTGTACAACACTGTAGAAATACATGCATCAAATGGTTCTCAAACAATAGATAAACACAAGATTTCTTTTCACATAGTTATTGTATTTACTATCTTATTTTGTTATATTAATTGTAATAGTGGGTGTATTATAGAGCAAGTTGGATGAACAAGATCCATTCATTTATTTTGTATTGGTAGAAGGGTAATGTAGTGCCATGAGTAGGGACTGGTTTACTATGAAAGTAATGTCAATGAATATAATGTTAATTTAATTTTATATAATAATTTTATGATACTATAATTTATTTCAGTTTTTATTTATTTCCAGACTAACAAAGTGTATTCCCATTTTATTTTGTGGAATCACAAGCTGGTCCCTCGCAAATTATTGCTGCAAAACCACAAGGAGGATCTTCAAAAAGGACAACATTATATCCACTGAAGAACAACCACAAACATCAAAGCATAACACATAATGTTGAACCTGAAAAAGAAAGTACTCTATATGAAAATTTTTAAAATGAAATAAGGAATATTTTTGTAATCTAATATTTAATATGTTTTATAATTTTGAATTAAAATTATTCTATTTATAAGCTGCATTCAATACTTATTATATTGCATATATAGAGACAAAATTTTTAGTGTCAATTCAAGGAAATTGATAGACAACCAAATATTATCAAAACAAAATTATTATTTGTGAATGTTGTATTTTGCACTTGTGTGTAGGAGCTTATTTATTAATTAACTTGTTTTTGATTAAAATATTAATATTTTGGTTATTGTAGACAATCATTGTGCATATTATCAATTCATCCATGATTGTAAATCTTATTTAAATTCTTTATCATTGTTTACTTAAGTAATTGAAATGTTGTAATCAATATTGATTTTCTTTTCATGTTTAAACCCATCAAATGTCTTTATAGAAAGAACTAAGCTGCTGGAGAAATTTTGTTTCTTAAGTTATGTATGTTTTTTATTTCAATTTGTATTTTTATTTTGAATAAATAAATAGAAATTTTGTAATTTTTGTTCTTTTATTTAGCGCTGGGATAGGAAACTCAAAAATACCTCAAATAAAAAAAATAACAAAAAAGACCACATTCAAATTTTCCCGCCACACGATAAGTGCAGGAGGCTGACGATAGATGGCGCTAGTGGTTATATGTCATTTCTTAAAATTTGTATGAAGTTGTCGTTCTTCTCCGATAGTGGGGCGACACGTGTACAATTTGGTGGAAATAGATTTAAGTACTGTTTTTGTTTCGGAGTTAAATAAATACTATAAGAAATATGTCGATCGTATTGTTGCATAATGAATTGGACACCACCATGAAGCTAACGGGTATGAGTCGGACTCTCGTATCTTTTACAGAGGTGTATGGCTTGCGATGCCGCCTCCTTTGGTTTAATACTCAAAGAATCGAATAAATAAGTTTAAGCCTAGCTTATCTATGGCGTCGTCGGCCTAGGGAGAGACAAATTAACGTTCCGTGTGGTATTAAGGAGCTTTTTCTCACAGATATGTTTGTTCTTTAAGTAGAGATGTTCGGAAACTTCGATAAAAGGATTTAGGCTTAAGTTGTTGGCCTGTCCACTTTATGTTATTGACGTAATAAGGCGCGACCACTTGGCGGTAGTAATATGTATCTAATGTTTTTTTAGATATTACCAAATGATGCAAGAGCTCGTAGATTATTTGTATCGACTGGAGCATTAAAAAGAATACAAGAAATAGACACAGTCCCAGGCACATCTCTTAAAGAATACATCAATATTATAAATAGTTGCTTTCCTGAAGAAATCGTAAGGTAACCAATTGATTAAATTTCCGCTTGTTTTAAATATTAAATTGTATCATTTATTTTAATTTCTTTCTACAAGTTAGTGTTATTCCTATTTGCAGGTATTATACACCTGGTTTTTCCGATACATTACTTGACAGAGTTGAAACTTTCACGCCTCAGGTAAGCAAAAAAACTATAATTACATACATAAATAACTGAGTAGTAAAAATGTATATCCAATAAAAACATGTTTATTTAAATTGTAAAAAAAAACTAATAATTAAGTACATAAATTAAGTTAACATCTAAAATATTGGCTATTCTTAGTGTTCTACAGACCTCATTAGTTATTCAGAATTAGTGTTAGAATTGATTATAATGTTTTCCGTCTCTACTGTGTTTCAGAACATATAAGGATTAAATATTTTGTTGAGTCTATACATCAAGCTTAGATTGCGTTAATCCCACTGTACTCATGCTCACACGCCACCTGCACCCGTCTATATCTATGTCCTCCCCCTAAATCATCCTAAGAGTGATTACGGTAAAAAGTCTTTCTGCAGTTTACGAAAAGTGTAGGGTTTAGGCGTTGGTATACGAAGAATTAAACAGGGTTATTTTTCAAACAGTAGCCTAAGTTTACACTTAAGTTCAATTAAATAAATAATTTACTGCAGTTTTTGAAAATACGAGCAAATAAGGCTTCTACGTTTTCTTGAAATTATCGCACGTTGAATGTGATTTATGGGCAAAAAATACGTGCACTCGCGCTCCTCTGTGTGCATTTCAGTTCAATGAATTTAGGATGACTCACGCTAGACCGTGTCGAGTCCGAGCCGAGTGTCGGCAGTAGCACGGTCAACTAATATTACATATATTTTGTATGAATACACTCACGCAATACCGAGTGGAAACCGAGTGACGGCCGAGCAACGGACAACGCTCGGCAACAACTCGGTCCCGGTTTGTAGTTGAAGATTTATCAGATTCTTCATTGTCCAGAGCGATCGCAATAGGCGCTAATTCCAGATCGTCAAACTTCAACATGATTGTAGTCTAGTTACAACACTATTTTTGCTCGGACTTTTACTGTATATTGCATCACGGCGCAACGATAATTGCTCGGTTGAGGCCCACTTTGCAATTTCAGGCAGGGGACCGGCTCGGTGACCGTGCTACGGCCGACACTCGGCTCGGACCCGTCTCGGTCTAGCGTGAGTCAACCTTTCATCAATTTTTGCCGACCAACCGAACCTAACGAATGTGGGCGTGCGTCGTAGTAAAATAGTAGACATTAGATATTTATGAATGACAACCAGTTAAAAAAATGCATTAACGCATTACGCATTCTGAATTTAAAATGAACAGAATGTTTGAGACTTTTTATTATAATTATAAATTGTTTGTTCTGAACCTTCTCTGCAAATTTGGTCGATTATTGCAAAATAACCCCGTAGGTAAATCACCGATTACAAAAGATCATCGTATTGGTCGCACTGATATCGATCATGCAAGATTTGAATAGCTCCTTACACACATCAGTCTACAATATGTCACAGCTACCACATTTACGTACATTGAATTATTAATTTATTTAATCTACGTATAGTTAATATTGTCAGATATGCAGGCCTGGTTCATTGGTAGCTAAAAAAGTGACGTGAAATTATTGTCATATAAAAAAAAGTTAAATTATAGTAGCTACGTGGGTTTATATTTAATAAATGCTTAGTTTAAGTTTAGAAAATAATTTAGTTGAATAAGGATGTAAGAATGAGAATTAGTATGGGTCTTGGATATCGCAAAATACATGTCATGCGCTTTCATGAAAAGGCCAATATTCAGCAGTTAACTTAAAAAAGCTGAAGAAGAAGAAGGATGTAAGAATTTGTAAATTGAAACACCTTACAAAATTTTACATTATTCTGAATGCTTTTGAAATTCGTAACATGTAGGTGTGAGTGACAAACTCTTAATAGTAGAAATAATCTGTGTAATTTTTGCTTTTCAGATTCCACAGTTATTTACTGATCGTGTACCAAGTGATTGTCAAAGCGAGTTAACATTAGAAAATTGAAAAAAAAAATGGTTTATTCACATTTAATTTTTATTTTAATGAAATAAAGTTTACATTTATATACTTAGTTATTATTTTCCCATAGTCCAAATAGTTTTTTGGATTTTAGCAGTTCTTCCGCCAATCGTGCTTTCTTCAATAGCCATAGACTGGCTTATTAGTCTGTAACTAAGGAAAAAAAAACATTTGAAATATTTAATTAACAACTATCTTCAGATTTAATTTTTTACTGCATTCAATACCAGAACATACCGAAATCTTGAATTTTTTAAATTTGATTATCATCTAATTTATACTTATTCATTCATTTAACGTTTATTCTTATAAAACATAAAGTAATCTTAACATAATTCTGTTCATTAAAAATAGAATAATTTTCTATCTCCAAATTAACATAACAGAAAAAGCCTACGTTAAATTATTATCTTTACAAATTTTATCTTATGAGAAATCTGCCCAGGAATAATAAACTCTACTATACTATAGTAATATTGATTAGATACAAGATTTTGACGTAATTATAATTAGGTATCTCTTGACATAATAGCTGATTTATTCAGGGATTGGCTGGGATCTGGCTCCAAATTCCAGGCAAGTCAGTGCTGACCCGCTACTGGCATAATGTAAATTAATTTGGAGTCAGTACAGTGCTGTCGCGCCAGTGCTTGAATATTTTTAGGCCAGTCCATTACCCCCGCCACCAGCGCCTGCGGTATTGACCTTGTCTGAAAGATCAAGTCAGTGCTTATACTTAGTTGCTTAATGCTTAGTCAGTAGCTAACGTAATATTGTAGGGTGACGTCGCATCGTATCATAAAATTATAAAATATATAAATTAAATGAGGGTAAATGAACGTATTTTTATATTACTGAAAGCATGCATGATACATTTATTTATATTAATTAGATAATTTACATTTTCTTATCCAAAGTCGTTTCTTTTTAGATATTTCTTCTAAGATTTCCTTCAACTCTTCCAACAGCAGATAGGAACATTTTCTCAACAAGTATTTCAATAGTTGTAAATTCTGCCGTATCCGTGAATTATTTTTTTCACATTGACTTCAATAAGGTAGGTACACTCTGAAGAAGTTACTATGACTACTGACTGCATGTAAACAGTGCGAGTCAGTCCTCGGCGCCATCACTGGCGCCTGTTACTGTCCCTGTGTAAAACAGCTTTAAGACAGAGGGCGCCTTTGTATAAAATATTTGAACAAAAAATACTATTCTTACGTAATCGTTTGATGCCTGTTTCCTTTGCATTTTTACACAATTTAAATCAATTTTGAAAATTAATTTAATCGTGGGTAAATGAGTTTGAGAAAATAAATACGACCGTAGTAAATAGCTCAGAAACGAACAAAACAACTTCGAGTAAAGAGTGAAGAGACCACAAACCAGTGGCGAAGCTAGGTCTCCAAACTAGGGCAAGCCCAAGATACGGTTTTGTTGTTTTTAGCAGTTTTATAAAAATACACCAATGTTGATCTGTCTCCACTCTTCAGTTTCATATCTAGTGCTGTCAAGGACGTGTTTAACAAAGCACACAGAAGGCATACTACTGCTAGATAGATTGTATGACATATCAGCAATTGCATACCTTCGGTGGCTTTGAAAAAAGGCGTTTGGGTTTGCTTGAGCGAAAGAAAAAGATATTTACATACATTACAATACAATACATAAACAAAGTATAAACAATGTACAAAATTCAAAAAACAAATTATTTATATTCTAAATCGAATCGTCTCTCTTTCTTTTGATTATGTCCGCGTAAAATGTTGATGAACGTTTTAATTGTACTCGATGCGAGTTTTCATTGCATCAGCGACAGAATGAATAATGTCATTTTGGATTGTACTAGATAAATAACTCAGCCGTTTCTCGCTTTGTTGATGCTGCATCGACTCATCGTAACCTCTGAAAGGAAGTTCTTGTTGTGCTAAATGGCAAACAATATCAACTAATCTTTGAAAAACACTACGGTTGTGATCAACACGAATGTTGTGTTTTGTAATTTCCTCGGATAATTGACGCGACAAAGATGTTTCAATCCGATTTTTTCCAAAATTACTAAATGAAATTACCGCATTCATGTGTTTTTGAGAATTCATATGCCTTTTAATGGATCCAGGTAAGTTATTTAAATCATCATATCCAGTATTATTCTAAGCTGTTTTGTCGTAGGAAAAGAATATGCAGCACTAACAGTACAACTTATTAACTTATTAAACGGTTTAAATATTTTATCTTATCCTCGCTGATTAGGACTTTAAAACACTTCAATTCATCACAAGGAACACTATTATCCTACATTTTCATTAAAGGTCTTATAAAAAGCAGAACTTTTCAACTCTCAATATTCATTCGCTCAAGCTAAACACAACAGAGTACACATTGAAATGTGAAGTGAACTTGCAAACGTATCGCCCGCGCGCCTCCGCACTCGACAATTTCATACCAAAGCCCGGCTTTTGGTTCCATAGTAATTGCTATATTAACATTTCGTAGTTCATTATAGAATATTTTGCCACAGGTTAGAAAGGGTGTGATCGTCCTCTCGAAAGCCCGGTAAAAAGCCCACGCGTGCGAGAGATACGACTATTCGCTCAATTCAACTCCTTTTATAAGACAGCAGTATCGCTAAGGCTACGAGGTCATGACCTGTGTAGAGCAAAGGAGCGCGCGGGAAATTTTTAATAGTTTAAAATAGTTTACGAGTTATTTTATTAGTTGATATTATTGATTGAGCTGTTTGATAGGGCAAGCCCGGCTTTTCGGCTTCTATGGAGGCTTCGCCACTGCCATAAACATAGTGATCGCACACGTTAGATGGTTTGGCAGAGTTCGACCGGCCATCAGAGGAAAGGAGGTACAAAGGAGATCAAGATTGAACTGTTTTATTCCGATGTATTAGCATTCACCATCTTTGTTTATACACGATTTAGACTATTAAATCTATGTTGTAGATATGCAGACACGGTTTATGATTTATAATACGTTGAGGTTGGATGACAATGTGTAGTGCTACGTTACTTTCATTACAGCGTTTTCTTTACATATGATCATGACAAATTATGAACTATACAATGGCTTTGATAAAACTAATCAAATGGTAGATCTCCGTGTACTTTTACCATAAATTATAAAATTTTGTATCTGTTTGAAATAAACTTAACAATAATACGATTATACAATGTGCAAATATGAATATAACATACTAACCAGTGTTAAAGCTGGTGTTAATATTCTAGTCGTTCCTATCACTTAAGTGTACATTTTGAGTTTTAAGGCAGGAATCTTTCCTGTTTCAAATCAATAGTTATTAAGCCAATTCACAAAGCTGGTGACAGAGGCAGTAATAATAGACCCATTTGACCCTGAATAACTTAAGACGCAGACACGAGATTTTATAAGACTTTTGAGAGAACTTTAAGAACGCCAAAATGAAGGTATATATGAAAATTCAGTTTATTATCTCTTATTCTGAGGTTGACTTCTTTTTTACGCTAAAGTGACTGGACTACTCGTGTTGTTACACAATTTGAACGAAGTAATAAATGTATAGCGGTATTCTTTGATTTAGTAAGGCTATTTCTGGGCAGGTGGATTAGTGATTGCACTCTTCTCTCTTACCCTTATTTTTATCTAATTCAGTCAAAAGTTCTTGAATTTACATTGTGACATATAAGAACAAAAAAGCAAAATGAAATGAAAGGGTTCTTATTTTTAAGATTATTTTAAGAGCTTGACAACTGAATTCTTAGGTGATGGGTCCAACCCTTATTTATTGTTTAATAATAATATTCGCCTTGAGTTACTCTGATACTTACGTCCAACTCGAGTAAAAAGTGATTCGAATGGCAAAATCGTACTCAACTTGCATCGTTATTCTCACCTGTAAGTAGAACTACCGAGAAGGTTTAATAATTTAATACCTTCTACGTCTACCTCAAATATTTCGTCTTGTATTCTTTTGCACAAAATATTCAGGTTATTAAAATATCCTTCTAGTTGGATCGAATGAGTAAGAGGAAGGCCCTGTAAATGAAATGCATTTGATATTAGATATAAAATAATTTTATCATTTGGTATAATATTAGAGATTACTTTGAGACAAATGCCTTGAACTAACGTAAACGCCTACTACGCTCTCTTTGTTTCTGGAGAATCAATAAGAGCATCGTCCAATACACCGTGCGATGAATGGTTTACTAATATGAAATTTGCACACAATCTTAATTTTGCCCATGTGTGGGTAAGGAACTAAAAATAAAGCGAGAAAAAGATATCGCTGTATCTTTCCCTTACGTTGTTTTAGATTGCCATTTTAAAAATTAGATTCGATACTAGTATACATAATTATTATATCGGATGAAACCGAAAATGATAATTATGAGCTATATTTTTGTGGTTTGCACCTTACAGTAATTATATACATATTGCTCTCAAGTCAACAGTTTACCTATTGAATATTAACTAATACTAATTAATTAAAATTTCATTTATAGTTTTTTAATATATTATGTATAATTAGTATTAATTGTAAATATTATAATTTAATTTCATTAATTATACAAAAATTATTTGAATGGGAATAAAGTATATTTTGTAGCTTATAAAATATTTAAATTTAGTAATAAATTAAAATTAAATATTAGCAGAATTCATCAAGAGAAGCCATGAATTAAAACAAGAAAATAATGAAATTTGTTTGTCAATTTCTTTCATGTTGAAAAGAAAATCTCAAATTGTTTCATTATTGTGGTTTCAATATTTATGCAGTGCGGAGCGGCGCTAATAATAATTTTATATTAAATTAGCACATATGCAAAATAAACGAAAATTAAAAAAAATGTACTCGATTAACGATACAATCTAACTTCCTGCATGTCTTATCAGGTCGTCACTCCATCTAGTGGGGGGTCGCCCTACACTTCGCCTACTGGTACGAGGCTGCCACTCGAGAACCTTTTTTCCCCAACGGTTGACACTTCAGTTTACTAATCCGTTGGGCTATGTCGGTCACTTTGGTTCTATTGCGGATATCCTCATTTCTAAGTTTATCATGCAGAGAAACTCCGAGCATAGCCCTCTCCATAGCTCGCTGAGCGACTTTGAGCGTCCTCATACGGCCAGCAGTGAAGGACCACGTCTCGGTTCCGTAGGTAATCACTGGCAACACGCACTGGTTGTACAACTTAGTTTTCAGGTTTTGAGGTATAAATTGAGGTAATGAGGTCGTAATTTCCCGAACGCTGCCCAGCCGAGTTGAATCCGTGGATTGACCCCTCGGTTGAAGTTGGACTTACCTAGTCGGACTATTTGTCCCCAGGTAAACGTACTCGTCAACAACTTCGAGCTTAGTGCTCCCATCAACTACCGGCAAAGGTGTGACATGGACGTTAAACATGATCTTTGCTTTGTCCATGTTCATCTTAAGACCTATCCGTTGGGAGGCACTATTGAGATCATTAAGCATAGTGCTTAAGTTCTCCAGCGATTCTGCCATAAAGACTATATCGTCGGTAAATCGAAGGTGAGTGATGTACTCGCCATTGATGTTAATACCGTATCCATTCCAGTCCAGTAGCTTGAAAACGTCTTCCAATGCAGCGGTAAAGAGTTTCGGGGAAATAACGTCACCCTGTCCTACACCTCTCTGCAGTTGGAAGGTTTCGAACTCTGGTTCTGTACTCGGATAGCCATCGTAGCCCTACTGTACAAACACTTCAGCACTTCGATATACCGACAGCCAACTTGGCACCGCTGAAGGGACTGTAGCAGTAGCACCGCCCAAATTTCGACGGAATCAAAGGCTTTCTCATAGTCCACATTCGCCAGGCAAAGTGGCAGATTGTACTCTTCGGACTTCTGTACGATTTGCCGAAGGGTATGTATGTGGTCTATGGTACTAAAGCCTTTTCGGAAACCGTCTTGTTCGGGAGGCTGGAAGTCGTCGAGTCTATTATGACAATTTTCGCGTGTTTATATCAACTGCACATGCGCGACTCTACTGTTTCCCGCGCAAGTGCGGATACAGAGTAGTGCACATTTTTTGTTTGGAATAGCTCTTCTAGTACGTAGTACATACAATGATATTATAAGTAAAAAGTTTTCTTATAATATCATTGAGTACATATAAACTCAATGTAGGTACATAACTATAACTATTTATAGTTTTATTTTATACCACATGCTTATCTAAAGTAAATTCGAGTGATGTTGGTGCAACCTCTCAAATGTATGGGAATTTACCCCAAAGGTTTGTGAGGCTTGAGCCAAAATTACTCGAATACGCTTCAAATAAACAAAAAGTTACAGAATACAAAGGTTTGGAATTCCCGCGAAAAAAGTTTCATATGGGCGCCTGCTGCAGCGCCAATAGTATATATAATATTATACACTCAGACACGTGTTTCAGTTTTTTAGTTTGGCGGTACTAGCGTTCTCTCGATAGAAAGTAATTGTGTTCTGTGATACTTAGTGTATAATTTTGTAATAATTTTCATAAACAAAAGTAGAAGTAGAAAGTAATACACAATATTTGTTTATTTGTAAAGTAAACGACATTATTATAGTTCATTATAATTAACAGGGATCCCCAAATTAAGCACTGCTTGTATTTTAGGGATCCGAGTGTGAAGTGCATTTTCGAGAAGTAATAACATGTAAAGTTATAATTCACTATAGGTATACTCCTGAAAACTGTAGAGTAATAAACTTCAAACCGCGTACAGCGTTGACACAAAAGGAAAATTTGGTACAATTCAAATGCTAAGGAGGAAAAGAACATTTTTCACATTCTGCGCAAGCTTGCAAAAAAAATAGTCCACTGTAGTTTCACTTTAAGTCATCTATCTACGGTTACAGGAGTACAATTATCTGTTTTAAATTTGATTAAAAACTCGAATTCGCCGGGAGCGGGAGTAGGAAGCCTACTATTTCGAAATTTCGTTTGTTTATTTTAAAAATTAAATTATTTTCTAAAACTCGAACCCGTCAGAATCGAGAGTAGGAAGTCGACTATTTTAACTATGTCTATGTTACGGTTAGTAATATGTATCGCCGCGCCGTTCTGCTTGAACTTTCAAGAGAAAATTCAAGAGCGATGATTTATTATGACTTTCGAAGTGGTTTAACACAAAAACAGTGTGTAGACCGGATGATTTCTGCATTTGGTGATGAAGCCCTATCCAAAACCACAATTTATCGCTGGTTTGCTGAATTTCAACGTGGACGTGTCAAGCTCAATGATGATCCCCGTCAAGGTCGTCCAAAAACTGCAGTCACCCAAGAAAACGTTGATGCTGTGCGTAAGCTGATTGAGGAAGATCGACATGTGACATACCGCGAAATTCAGGCAACTTTAGACATTGGCATGAGTCAAATACAAATAATCTTGCATGAATTGTAAATTATTGTATACAATTAGGTGTAAAAAAGTTGTTTCCCGATGCGGCTCGCGTTACTTGGTGCGTCAGAACTCTCGAAAGATTCCACGCAGGATCCTCAAATGCTGTATACAACATCGTATCAGGTGACGAATTCTGGATATACGCGTACGAACCCGAAACAAAAAAAAATTTTTTTTTGGGTGTTCGAAAATGAGTTAAAGCCAACAAAAAGTGTTCGTTCACGGAGTGTTGCAAAAAAAAATGGTGGCCACGTTTGTCTCCAAAACCGGCCATGTTACGACTATTCCTCTTGAGAGACAAAGAACGGTTAATGCAGAATGGTATTCTAGCATTTGTTTGCCACAGGTCGTTTCTGAACTCCGTAAAGAGAACTGCAACCGCCGCATCATCCTCCATCAAGACAATGCGAGTTCTCACACCGCACACAGAACAAAAGAGTTTTTAGAGCAAGAAAACATAGAATTATTAGCCCATTAACCGTACAGCCCCGACCTAAGCCCTAATGATTTCTATACTTTCCCTAAAATAAAGAATAAATTGCGTGGACAGAGATTTTCATCACCTGAAGAAGCTGTGGTCGGCTACAAAACGGCCATTTTAGAGACCCAACTTCCGAATGGAATGGTTGCTTCAATGATTGGTTCCATCGTATGGAAAAATGTGTCAAATTTCGCGGAGAATACTTCTAAAAGCAATAAATACATTTTTAAATAGTAATGTTGTGTCACTTCCTTGATTCCCGAAATTTTCAGTGCTGCCCTCGTAGAATTATAGCACACAATTATTAATCTTTGATTTGAGGTGCACGATTTAAGAGGGAACTTAAAGGAAACTTTTTAAGTTCTTGTGAAGTCCACACATTATATATTTTTTATTAAAAGTTTAATTGACGTTATTGACTACAGAGTAAACTTATTAATATTACAAGCTTTTTTCCACTCTGAGCGGACTTTTCACTCCGAATCTTTATGGAACGACTCCTGAAGTAAATATAATACTTTTATAATATAAATTGCTAAAGCTTGTTATTAACCGTTTAGGTGCAATTTTTAAACTGCTAAAAAAAGAAACTGTATTTGTACGTAAATAGATTACCTTAATTTGACATGTTACCTCGCCACGTGACTCGTATTCAATTACTAAAACATACTCCATAATTATATTTCAACAATAACTTAGTTCCAATAAGAGTATCTTTGTCCAAGGGAACTTCGCATGAATTGATTGACTAAACATTGAACTGTCGTAGTTATCTAATTTCATTGTGGATGTGGTTAGTGATAAATTAAATAAAAATATATGCTAGGTTGTGCGCAATAAGATAGTGTAGAATTTTAACACATATAAATAATGTAGAATATTAAATAGTAGTACTTTTAGCTATACGCATTATATGTAATTATACTGGCTAGAATGGCCTTCAGATTGGAAACAGCAGTGAAAGCACTGCTGTCTGGCATCAAAATTAGCGCACACGCACACACACACAAGCGCGCGCGCACACACACACAGACATCACTAATTATATTTCGATTTTTTTAATCTTAAATATAAACGATACTAGTGATAAAATTAAACATTTGTACAACCAACTTCATTATAAATAAAATGAGAACATCATCAATGTATTCAATCAAGTAGTCAGTTAAAGTCGATTAAATACGCATTATTAAGAATAACTCAACTACTGGTCAGATCTTGATCAAATGTATATAGGACCACACGAGAAGCACCAGCTTTCAAATAAAAAATAATCATCAAAATTGGTTCCAGCTTTCCCCCTCGCGATAACTGACACATCACTGAATAGTTGCCGTCTGGTCGTCATAATGAAGTCAATCTCATTTTTTGTTGAACCGTTAGAACTGGACCAGGTAAGCTTTGTGTGGAACTCTGCATCTAAGAAAAGGAATTTATCATGAAGTCTCTCTTTGTCCATGAAGTCGACCAGCTGTTAACCCCTTGAGCTCCGTAGCCCTGTACCGAATTATCCTACCTTCAGTTCACCATTCTCTCTTATGCCTAGTTTTGCGTTGAAGTCTCTAATTGACACCGTATAGTGAGTTCTAGAGGAAATATCTTTAGAGATAGTTATCCTCATACATTTCCTCCACATCCTCATCGGGATGTCCAGAGGCGGGTGTTCAAACGTTTATATCCAATGAATAGCGATTGTTAATTCTGGATATAAGGTAAGCAAATGTTACCTTGGTTGTCACCAAAGCTAGGATTAGCGAGGTTGCCGGTTACTGTGGGCTGCTCTCATGCGGAGTTATTTATCTAGTTGCCAAGCTTGGCAGGCGGATTGACATTGAGCGAAGGTATTGGACTTTACGCCTTCAATTGTCTTGTTAGACAATGGATATACAGGGTGTTAGTGTAAACACCGTTATCTTTGAAACCAGTGGTTTGGTTTCACTTATAGAACGTAAATTCATTGAAAAATTACATTTTTTTTACTAAAATCTCAATTTTTACTTAATTCCTCAATTTTTGCCAGTCTTAAGCCAGGCTGAAAGTATGAAGGAAAAGTTACATCACAGGTTATGTGTACCTATTGTTTTTATTGAAATGTTGTGTAGGTAGCTAGCGCGGGCGGAGATCTTTACAGTGATTAACACTTTCGTTCTAACAACGTCACAGAACGTCCAATTTGATGTCTTCGCGATGACGCACATAGTCTAATCACGTCCTAAGAAAATTTTAATTTCCAAGCACAACGGCTAGTAACGTCAAATCTCTGTATAATCTTTAGGTAGCTACGTCATTGCGCCGCATCGTGTGAAATTTTCAAAGTTCTAGCGCTACAATACATTAGTTTTTTTCTTACTTGAACATAAGTCACACACACATTGATGGGTACCTACACACACATGAACAACGTCGACAAACGTCGTTTTTGGTTAGAGTCGCCATACTGCCAGTCTGCTTGCGCGCCGGTACAGAGACCCACGTTTTACGCTACAAAACCCTCGCAGGCCGTGCATTTGAGAAAGTAATCGTAAGTTATTTTTTCGTTTTCTATAGTTTTCTAGGATATGGTGATAGTTGTTATGAGTGCATTATAGTATATATGCTGCAATTTTTGAATTTTATAGATGGGAAATAGAAAAAGAGGCCAGAAGAAGTCATCTACGAAAAAAGTAATTGACGTAGGTTGCAAAGAAAAATGTGAAGCTGGACCAAGTGGCATATCAAGGAAAACTCATTCCGTAAGTTATATTTTTAGTTTTTTTCTGAAAAAAATCTCAAATGTACGCATATGTTCTAATTTTGTGTCCTGAATAAGATGATAGCTATGTTTTTTGTTGTAGGTGGAAAAATCACGCCAAATTAGTAATAATGCTTCCATGAAGTTGTTTCAATATGATTCTTCATCAAGGCCATCTACACCAGACCCATTTAGTGATGATGGAGAGTATGGTTCCGATAACGACTATGATCCAGGATATGATGATAATACAGACAGCACTAGCACTGTTAGTGATCACACAAAGCAACGTGAAAAGAAACAACTAAAGAAACGTTCCAAGGACAACACAACGAGGTCACATGGTAAACGCAACTCTGAAAGCAGTGTAAGTAGCAGCTCTGATTCTGACGATCGAACCGAAGGCTTTAGCGAGTGCACGGATGTATGTGATAGCGATGACAACGAGGATGATACAAATTCGATATCGGCAGAATCTAGTGATGAGAGTATTTTTGACAGTAGAAAGAGAAAAAAGAAGGGGCAGAGTTCCTCTTTAGGATCAAGATACAAAAAACCTAAGATCGTCAGTGCAGATCAGAGTACCGACACTATGTCGTTAGATTCTGAGGCATTGCTAAATAATATAGATAATCTTGATAGCTCTTCAGTGCAACTCGATCCTGCAGTATTAGAAAATATCTCAATTTATTCACATATCGAAGGAAGTCACTCCCATACTAATCCACAAATTCAAGGTGCTGAAGACGACCATGCTGCTGCAGCTGCTGAGGTTAATCCCGCGCCTGCCAACCTACGTGCACTGGAACTAGACGCAGCTGCGCAGCGCCACTCTCCTGGTTCTCCTGCACCGGATCCAGCAGCTGCTGAGGGAAATCCCGCGCATGACAACCTACCTGCCTTGGACCTGGATGTAGCTGCGCAGCACCGCTCTCCTAGCTCTCCTGCACTGGATCAGGAGGCTGTTGAGGGAAATCCCGGGCCTGTCAACGTATCTGCCCTGTACCTGGATGCAGCTGCACAGCGCCGCTATCCTGGCTCTCCTGCACCGGATTCAGCAGCTGCTGAGAGAAATCCCGCGCCTGACAACCTACCTGCGCTGTACCTAGACGCAGCTGCGCAGAGCCGCTCTCCTGGTTCTCCTGCACCGGATCCAGCAGCTGCTGAGGGAAATCCCGCACATGAAAACCTACCTGCATTGGACCTAGATGCAGCTGCGCAGCAGCGCTCTCCTAGCTCTCCTGCACTGAATCGGGAGGCTGTTGAGGGAAATCCCGCACCTGTCAAATTATCTGCCCTGTACCTGGACGCAACTGCGCAGCGCTGCTCTCCTGGCTCTCCTGCACCGGATCCAGCAGCTGCTGAAAGAAATCCCGCGCCTGCCAACTTATCGGCCCTGGATCTGGACGCAGTTGAGCAGCGCGGCACTCCTGGCTCTCCTGTATCGGATCCAACGGCTGCTGAGGAAAATCCCACGCCTTCCAACCTACCTACTCTGGACCTGGACGCAGCTACGCAGTGCCGCTCTCCTAGCTCGTCTGCATCAGATCGGGAGGCTGCTGAGGAAAATTCCGCGCCAGCCAACCTTCCTGCCCTGGACTGGGACGCAACTACGCAGTGCCGCTCACCTAGCTCTTCTGCACCACCAAAACTAAACGCTACTGTAAGATATCCAACTCCGGCCAGCACACTTGCACTGGAGGTAGTTGCAGAGCGTGGCTTGTCCGGCTCTCCCGTGCCGGAACGAGATGCTGCCGAAACGAATTCTGCGCCTACCAGTCCATCTGCTTTGGATCGGGAAGCATTTGTACAACGCAACCCTTCTATCTGTCATGTGCTGGACCCAGAGGCCGCCGAAAGAAACTCCGTGCCTGACACACTCCCCGAGATAAGTCCAGCGACCAATTGCAGACCAAGCACTCCTCCACTGATAAATTATGATTGGGAACACACGAACACAGACATACCTTCGTTCGAGTTTGATGAAAGTTCAGCAGGTGTCCAGTTTGAAGTCAACCCAGCTATGACAGTTATGGAATATTTGATAAAATTCTTAATCCTAATATTGTAGACTATATTGTAACATGTACTAATACGTACGGGCGAGCACTATGCGAGAAAACAAGACCTACTACTCGAAACTCACGTAGCTATAACTTTAGGGACACAAACCGGGAAGAAATCTTGAAATTTTTGGGATTATGTTTGCTTATGGGTCAAATCAAAATTCCTCAAAAACGCAAAAAATTTTACGTATTCCGACCCACTGTATTATCACCCAATTTTTCACTATGTGACGTCCGCTCGAAGATTTGAGCAAATCTTGAGATGTATTTATGTATCAGATTTAGATTCAAAAGGAAAAGATAAAATTGAAAAATTTATTAATGCTATTACCAAGAGCTTCATGGAGTGCTATAAGCCATACAAACAGTTAAGTTTGGATGAATCTTTGCTTTTATTTAGAGGCCGCCTTGCCTTCAGACAATATATAAAGAGCAAAAAAAGTACGTTACGGAATCAAATTCTTCGAGTTGACAACTTCTGATGGCTATGTTTTAAATATAATGATGTACTCCGGAAAAGACACAACTGCTCGAACTGGCAAAAAATCTGAAAAGATCGTCCTTCGTCTCATGAGGCCATATTTGCTGAAGGGACATCAATTATACATGGATAATTATTACAATTCCGTAACACTTTCGCAAAAGCTAGTTGACTTAAAAACTCACACCACAGGTACCTTACGTTCAAACAGAAAAGATAATCCCAAAGACATCATTAAGAAAAAACTCAAGAAGAATCAACATGTGTGGGTACGAAAAAATAAGGTCTATGTTTCAAAATGGGTTGACAAGCGACCAGTTCTTATGGTAACAACTTCAGTTCATCCTCGGCTTATAGAAATACAAAACAGATTTCAACAAAGAAAAATTAAACCCGCAGAAGTGGCAGAATACAATCAACGCATGTCCGGAGTTGATAGAGCAGATCAAATGATCTCATATTATTCCTCACCAAGGAAATCAATCCGGTGGTATAAAAAAGTGATGTTCCACTTGTTGGATGTCGCAGTATGGAACTCATTTTTTATTTTCAAAAAATACTGCCAAGCCAATTGTGATTTCTTGCTTTTCCGAGAGGAATTGATTCGAAGACTGTTGGACTTACCAGCAGATTTAACAGCAGAGCAAGTGATTTTAGCTCGCAGCAAATATGACAACAGAATCAGAGCTAATTTATTGCCACTTCCAGTCAGTACCATTGACGACGACGTCGGAAGCTCAAGAGTCCATGGTCACTGGCCTGAGAAAATACCCGTGCAAGAGGGTTCAAACAAAACATCAAAGTACTTGAAATGCAAGATGTGCACGAAAAAAAAGGTGAGAAGGGAGACTTGCCTGAGATGTAAAGGTTGCCCTGAAAAGCCAGCACTGTGTGCTCTTTGCTTCGAAGAGTGGCACAAAGAAGTATAATGCTTTTTTACCTATTTTGTTCCTTTTTATGAGAGTGATATCAAATAAGTATAACTGTATCATGCATATGAGTATTTAGAAGTTTTATAATTTATTGCTACGATTGTTATACTAAATCTGCTAAACTGTGTAAGACTGAATATTATTGTGCTATACTGGTAATCTATTGATAAGATAGAAGCAGGCAACTGTTAATTTTGTGAAATAATTTGTTACTTTTATAGAAAATACCTAACTTACCAGAGTATTATTTGATTTTGTGATAGTAGCGTAAAATGTTAAAAGGTTACTCATTCATATGATAGGTAGGTAAAAGTAAGTGAGTATTTATAATTTTTATAATTTTTTGCTACCAATGTTATACCAAAACTGTGTAAGACTGATTGTTATTGTGCTATAGTGGTAATTTATTGATAAGATAGTAGTGAGAAACTGTTTATTTTGAGAAATAATTCGTTACTTCTATGGGATAAACCAAACTTACCATAGTATTATTTGATCGATATGTGATAATAGCGTAAAATTTTAAAAAAGTTACTCACACATAGGATAGGAAGTAAAAGTAAATTTTATTAAACTAAAACTTGGAAGAAATTTATGGACAATTGCACCTAAATTATTTTCAATTAAGTCGAGAAGAGGGTAGATATTGACACAAAATGTGATATGTAGGTAATTTTTGAAAAATAGTTGATTTTCTAAAAATATATAACAAAAAACTGATGATTATTGAGTATTATTCCATATTAAATCCTGTTTATTATTTTATTTTTATAAATCAAAGTCAACGTCAGGAAACGATGAGCGACAGATAATTTGCTCGTATAGTCGATTTATGATCAGACCGTCAAGTAACGTTGGAGTAATTAAACGTTGTTTCCCAAAACTTTAAGTTCTACTAGATATTTGTGGAACAACAGTTATGAACGTCAACGTGCATTGACGCTGCTTTCTTATCATGGTATCAATATTTGACAACTAGTAACAGAACGGCTGTAAACGTTGACGTTGTTTAACGTTGTTCAATATAGTGTAGAAATCTTGTCTAGAGATTAAAGCAGAACGTGTCCCAACGTTGACGTTGTTAAACGTTGTTCAATATAGTGTAGAAATCTTGTCTAGAGATTATAGCAGAACGTGTCCCAACGTTAACGTTGTTAAATGTTGTTCAATATAGTGTAGAAATCTTGACTAGAGATTAAAGCAGAACGTGTCCCAACGTTGACGTTATTAAACGTTGTTGAATATAGTGTAGGGATCTTGTCTAGAGATGAAAGCAGAACGTGTACCGACATTGACGTTTAACGACGTTCTTGTAATCTGTAAGGTCTAAAATACCCACAAATCGGAACAGAACGGCTGGTAACGTAGACGTACCTAAACGTTGTTGCCCCTTTGATGGATAATAATTTTAGCAATATACCGGTGCGTCCTTGAACGTCAACGCTTACTGACGTTACCGACAAGTCATATGCAATATTTTGTTTGTGATACGGCGATACGAGTATGGACGTCCTCAAACTTTGTATGGAGTAATCATGCGCCACGGCCTATAAGTTGACTATTATGGTATGCGTGCATGAACGTGTTAAATCACTCGGGCGCATAGGATATCCATGAATTTACGGACGGTGTCGGACAGAAACTTATTAAATTTTATGAAAGAAAATAGTTTTTTTATTCATTGAATTTACGTTCTATAAGTGAAACCAAACCACTGGTTTCAAGGATAACGGTGTTTACACTAACACCCTGACCAAGTAATGCCACAAAGCACGGTCCTGAGCCACCTGCATCCATCAACTTCCTGCATGTCTTATCAGGTCGTCACTCCATCTAGTGGGGGGTCGCCCTACACTACGCCTACCGGTACCAGGTTGACACTCGAGAACCTTTCTTCCCCATCGGTTATCGGTTCTTCGAGCTATATGGCCAGTCCATTGCCACTTCAGCTTACTAATCCGTTGAGTTATTTCGGTCACTCTGGTTTTATGACGCAGAGAAACTCCGAGCACAGCTCTCCATAGCTCGCTGAGCGACCTTGAGCGTCCTCATACTCATATTATTAGCTATAACAAATATGCATAGATCGAACGCAGCAATAGTTTCAACATACATTGTGTTGCAAACGCGAGCGACCTAGTCCGGAGCGTCATGATTAATTGCGCTAGTAGGGCCCGACACATAAATACGGAATTCCGTTTAGAGATTTCGTTTCGGAATTCCGAAACGTAACGAACGGGTTGGCCAAACACATACGTAATCCCGTTTTGTCCGCAAAATTTCGAACGGAAAAATACCTCAGGTGTGTGACGGGTCATTGATTTTATATGAACTTGCTGCGTTTGGAATCCCAAATCGGAATTCCGTATGTATGTGGCGGGCCTAAATCAGTATGTGAACAGACAGGGCAACATCGCGACAGGGCGAGGAGCATAGCACGGCCGAGCCACAATAAACCTTTGAATAAAATCTAAATAAATACTTGACCTCCAACGTTTTTTCTTGATTTTACGCTTCACTTGTTTTCTTTTTTAATTTGGAACTACCATGCTGGTCTGAAAAGTTTCCGACCTCAACGTGAAGATGCACCAAAATTTCAGCCATTTTGGTTTCATTCAGCAGTATAGGCGTAATGAATGCGAGTTTTGACGCGGATTAATTACTGTAGATGAAAGTTTGATACACTACTATACGCCCAAGACAAAAATACAGTCAAAGCAGTGGACTGCAAATTAGGAACTGCCTCAAAAAAAGCAAAAACGGTTTTTACGACTGGAAAACATGCCGACTGTTTTCTGGGATAGTCATGCAGCATCTTAATCAAAAAGGAAAACACATACTACGCATCATTACTTGGCGAACTGAAGACAGAAATTACGAAAAAAGGCCACATTAGCAGAAAAATAAATCCTGTTTCACCATGACAACGCACCGTCACACACCTGTGTTGACATGGAGAAAATCCAGAAATTACGGTTTGACCTTACTCACCAGGTAGATATAGCCCCAAGTGACTTTTTTTATTCTCTTAAATAAAAATTAAACTCGGAGGACAGATTTTTGTCAAATGAGGAGGCGATCCCTTCGTGAACAATTATTTTGCAGGGAAAAACGCCAGTAACATTTAGGCGGATAAGAGACATGGCAGCATCGCTGGGAGAAAAAATAAAAATAAAGTAAAATTTACGACTTCATACTGATAAAAAATGGTTTCGCTGATGTCAATCTTTCTTTAGTAAAAGGTCTTGCCTCCTCGGACTGATATACTTTTTAATGGTAGATTGGTGTATGTGTTACCATTCTACCAACAAAAGCGGTTTCAGCTGTCGCAGTCTCCGGATCTCGCTCTTACTCGCCCTTTTTTGCTCGTCCCATAAATGTTCAACGGGATTAAGGTCTGGCCAGTCCAGAATCCGTATCCTCACATCTTGCAAGTATAATCTCAAGAGTGAGTTCACACGGCGCGTGGAGTCTTCGTAACGCCAATTTTTCGACGCATTGCCGGCCACACTAGCGCTGCATCGCAGCGTTGCTAGAGCGCAGTCGTAACGTTCCATCGTCGCTATAGACTACGTCTATAAATTGCTACAGACTATAAATTTCTAGCCCGCTATTGGTGAAGAAAAACCAATGAACACTTTTTCATACTTTTCAGGCTTACGACTTTAGCAAGTAGCGCCTTTTAATATTTAGGTATGTATTTTAAAATTAAACTAAAAATATTTTAAACAAAATAATTTTATTTGCAAGAGTAATTGCACTGTGTTTTCGTTTTCATTCCTTTGTTTCCTCCTGGTTTAGTAAATCTGGAAAACAAGAAATGGAAGTGTGATTATCTTAATAGCTAAAAAATTACTTTAATATTATATTAAATTTATTCAGAAGTTGAAATTCTTCAAAGGAATTGCAGATATATGCTTGTCTAAAAATCATCATGAATGCAGTTTGTAGGTCATTTATTACCAAAAAGAAACATCTCGCATATAAAATTGTCTAACTGCTAATATAACATAATATATTTGCCAGAACACTTTTCTAGCAAACACCATAATATTAAGTTTACGAATCATATTAGTATTATTACAATGGCCATGGCATTAAAATGAAGATGAATCTAACACTCAGCATTATAAAATCTGTGAAACTGTTCATGCTATACAGCTATCAAAGGACAGCTGGAACATGCACAAAAATTAAATCCGAAAAACTTATCAAACCTCCCTCTGGGTTAAAAGGTACAAATACTGGTACTGTAATGCAAATGCAAATGTGGTGTTACTCTGGTAGGAATCGTGATTGGCTTTTTTATACCATTGGTATTGTTGCATGTCTAAATTTTTCAACATCAATTTTTATATACGTCTTTTTTATTTAAATTGTATTGTATTTTAGTTTACATAGTTGTCATAATGAATATAACAAAAACTCAATAATTGCAGTGATTTTTACCGGCAATGATTCCCTCATCAGTGTTACACAATCATATTGCTATGTAACTTGAATACTTATAACATCTCTGATTTAGAAAACTATTCTGATGACAACCCGACAAATTACAGAACTGTTGGCAACAAACATTTCCTAACACAGGAAATATGTAAAATTTTATAATTTGCTTTACATTATTCTATTCTCTAAATATTGTATAGTCTTTAAATATTGTTTGAACAGTTTAGTTACACATAAGAGTATGTAATAATTATTATTTAAGTCGTACTAAACAATAAATCGAAAGAATTGTTTAACTGTGTGAAATACGTGTAATATAATACAAAAACAATATAATACTGAGTAACCGTTTTGGTAGAAAATTAAATGATTTTATAAATTTACCTTTTTTATATACTTTGCAATAAATGTTCACATGGTTCAGACTGAATCTGTAAATAAAATTACAACATGTTATTTGGTTTTTACAATGGTTTTACTTAATAAGAAGCATGTGAGAGTTTCAGTTGTTACCATACCATATTTTCCCCATGGTTAAGTGAGACAGGGATAACTTAGTAATTCATCATGTTAAAAAAAACAATAAACAGTACAAAACAAAGCAGATTTCTATGAATTTTTAAATTACATGACTAGAGAAATTAACTACTAAAAGATTACAAACTTTAAAACTCCTTTTTGGTGATAAAGTTTTAAGTACTATATTATATTCACACAAATCTTACACAATGGATAACTTATGAAGATTATAGGGTTTGGAATATTTATATTTAATACCCATTGTTATAATAACTTACAGTCGGCCTGATGGCAAATGCTACTGGTCCATGGACAATTACAACAAATTTCAATCAAAGACTACAGATGCGTTGTCACCTCCAAGTACAAAAATTTAATGCCTCACAAGCCAGTAATGACACTGGTCTCCTAGACCAGACTGAGTTCTACCAGCTTTTTTTTAAATAGAACAAGGGGTGACAAACAAGCACACAGTACACCTGGTGTTAAGTGGATGTTGTGTGTGAACATTTATCCTCGATTAGGAATCAAAATGCAGATGCGTTGCTACCCCTGAGGACTTAGATGAAATGCCTCGTTTCCTGTAAAAAGGCTCTGGTTCTCTACACTCATCATACGAAACACAGCGGCATAGAGCTGCTATTCTTTGAAAGCGTGGTCCTTCCCCAGTCGATCCTTTCTTTTTTTTTAAATTGTTAAAATATTTTTTGTGCTGTGATGTTTATGATTTAAAGGTACCCTAAGTTTAACAAGTTCTAAAAATCTAAACTAAAAGAAAATCAGTTAGTTTCTTAAACTGACCTTTAAATGAATGTGAAGAAACAGAAAGTATCTGAAAAATAAGAAAAAATACTATAATACATTATTTTTTTGCTAAAGGGCAGTTGCATGCAGCAATAGTTTTTCAGTTGTTACCATACCATATTTTTCCCCATGATTTTGTGAGACAGGGATAACTAAAATTATCATCATATATAAAATCATAAATTAAATAATTTTTTAACTCTTGTTATATGTCAGCATATCATTATATTTAAAATTGAAATATTGATAAAGCTTTTCATGATAAGTCCACACTCTACAGACAGGTCCAAATAAATAACGCAATTGTACCCACTTCGCGCGTTGCAGCATAAAGGATGTGCCGGGTCGACGTATTCCAGCGCCCCAACAGAGGTGACCTTGGGCGCGCGCTCCCATTCGCAGTTTACAGCAGATTACAGCTTACCAAAGACATTTGTGCTGTAGCAAGTAACTGGTGCGAATCTATGCGGGTGCAAAATGTCATCCACGGTTCCAATCCAAAAAAAGTTATGAATATCATTCACGTACAATAAGTTTGAATGGCTGAGAATTAATTCTTCATTAAACCAGCATTTCAACCACTTTCTTTTCTTGTTTTCCGTCTTCGATTGTGCACAAAACTGCTAAAGCAAGGCCCACTTTTTGAAATTTGGACAAATTAGAAGTAATTTCTAAGTCTTAATTCTATGCTAACGCGATTCACAGTGAAGTTTGTTTGAACGTGTTGGGGGTTAGTTGTGATCCGAGTAGCCGAAACAGAATCCACGAAAGGAAACCAAGCTCTCACCAAGGTCACCTCTATTGGGGCACTGGATTACATCCGTCTGGAACATGCTTTAATTAAAACACGTGGCGCTGGTGGCCTGATTAGATAGATGATAGATAATGATGTAGAATTATGTCATTAGAAACCGCGAAAAAATCACAGCTGGGATTAGGAGAGTAAAAGGCGGGAAAATGACTGGTATGAAAATGAAGGTGTCATCTTTCATGAATTGTCATATTGTAACCAAAATATCGATATAGCGCGAAGTATTCTCATCATTAACTAACAATTGTGACGCCATAGTAAGCAGATAATAGTCATTATCTGCCAATTATTAATATGTAGTGAGTATGATTTTTACACAGCTCGCGGTACTTGCATTATTTACTCATGTTTTGTAACATATAGATATTAAGTTCATAGTTAATATTATTATAGAACGGAAATATACAATTACCTTTTATCCCTTAAGTTATAACAAGTTATTAATCTGTAAATACAAAATAAAAATTTCTAAATGTATTTGAAATTACTAATAGACAGTCGTATATCTATTGATAAATACTTCAGTTGTTACCATACCATATTTTCCCCATGAGTTTGTGAGACAGGGCTAACTATAATTATCATCATTCAACAAGAAATAAATTTGATTTGAAACTGGTCTGGAGGACATTATGGTACGTGAGAACATTATAAAGTAAGGAAGGGTAATGAAAATTGTATAATGCACAATTTATTTTAATACTAACCTGAACACCATTTAATGTGACCTAGGTTTTTCTGAAAAAAAAAAAGGACAATATATGTTATATTTTTGACATATTTTTTGCAACCTAAATATTTAAAATAACTATCAGTTAAAAGTCTTCATCAAAACTATATGATATATGCTTGTATATGGTATAACCATCATTTATGAAAAAATACAATGATGACATGATGTTATTTGAAATGAGAGCAAACATTTTTTTTAAACGCTGCACATAAATTGCACAAGGATAAGCATCCAGACCTAGAATAATAATTTGTAGGCCATACAAATACTTTTTCAGTGCGGGTTTCCAACCCGCAGCCCTTAACGCTGTAACTCATAGCTAAACTCCTGCAGCACCGAGCCGTCAAAGCCATAATTAGATTACTTGTATATTAAATTTATTCACTAATTAAAAATGTAAAATAAGGAGATTAAGATTATTTTAAGATACTGAAACAGGCTCATAATATGTGGATTATTTTCTTTTTTATATTTTTTATAAATTTGTCTGCCTATGATTAAATATTCTTTAATTATCAACAGTTTGTCTTTATTGTATGACAGAGTTATATAAGCAGGTATAACAATAAAAAGGAACAATAATTCAACATTATATAAAATACCTGTTGTTTTCTGTACAGTATTGCGTCTGTCTGTACATGCATGTCTTGGCTCAAGAATATATATATACAAATCTGAAACAAGGTCAAATATGGTTAACAGTTATTGTTTTGAAATATATAATTATTAAATGTGCTTATTAAATTATCAGTATATCGATCAACACTTCCATTCAGACTGGGGCAATAAATTATCATCATAGATTTTAATGAAAAAAAAAATTGTTAATGCTAAGCATGGAAACTATGACAATGTTCCCTGTAAATTAAAGCAGCTTCCAGTTCATTATTTAGAATATAGACAAACTATGAATACAAACAAAAAATGATTTAACATAAGTTATGCTACTAATAAAGTGTAATTAAATTAATTTTTGTTTTTAATAATTTAATTCTTACCTGTTAAATCAAGTTCATCCATCTTTAATCTGAAATAAATATCAAATGTTTAGGTCAATTTGAGTATATATTAAAGTGCAGGAATACACACCTCATTAAGTTGTTCAGTCGGTATATCAATCAACATTTTAATAGTCAGACTGGGGCGATAAATTATCATCATAACTTCAATAATATTACAAAAATATCAATAAAGTGTGTTGAGCTGTTTACCATTCTTACTGAGAACTTAAATGCAGATGCATTATCACCCTTGAGGACTAAGATGGAATGCCTCATTTCCAGTAAAATAGGGTCTCCGGATCTCTACACCCATCATAGGAGTATTAAGCTGCTATTTTACGCTGATATTCTGTGAGAGTGTGGTCCTTCCCTGGTCGAACCGACCTATTCATGCTACAACCATAATATAGTTGCAGAGTGGCTCTACCACGTATATAATAGCACATGTATGTTCCATGGCTGGACATCAACCTCCTTTGATTTCAGAGAGGTTAATAAAACAATTAGTCTGCTTCGCTGCTCTCAAGTGGTTGCAGGCTACACAACATCATGTTCTTGAAATATCTACCCCTCAGACACAGCTGTCCACACTATGGGTTTTCTTCATCTGCCGAAGCACATGGTAAATCAGAATTTAAAATTGTATTTGACAATTTCAATTCTGCTGGCAAGAAATTGAACTGCGGTTGTTTGCATACCATGGAAACTAGGGCAAGTGCTTAATTCCTGAATTATCACAATTAAATAACAATCCTTAGTCTTTTTTTAATAAAAAAATAAGAATAACTATTGAAAATATTTATTGGTTAAATTAAAAGTATTTGTTTATTTAATGACAAATAAATAGGAATGCACTTACATATTGCAATTAAAAACACCATCAAAAGGATGCACATCGATCAACTCCGTATGTTATAATCTCCTGTAATAAACAAAAAATTACATATAAATAAAGATAATAATAAAAATAAAATTTGCAAGTTAAAAATACTTTGTTCAGTAACTATCAATCATCACGATACAGATAGGGGCGATACATGAAGTCATCATTGTAATATTATTAAGACATATTGTTATTTTAATAGTATAGTATATATTAGACATACCTCTTGTCTCAATCTGCAATAGACATAACCTGAAATATGAATTTATATAAATTAGATCTATTTAAAAAGTAAAATATAAAGTTAGTAATAATAAAAATAATCAGGAATCATCAATCATCAAACTACAGCTAGGGGCGATACAAAACTTCATCATTTTTTTAAATAATCAAAAACACTTTATATATTGAATTAAATGCTTTAAAAAGCAACTGAAATGTCGGGATTTAAATAAGTGAAAATAAATAAAATTCCTAATATTTTTTTTTAAAAATTTCATAGATATTAAAGTTTACCTTAATAGACTATGGCACATTTAGCAGCCCATTACAAATTCACCCACTGGACTCAGACCTTCAAGCAACTGCCACAAACAAGATTCTGGATGCTGCAATAAAATTAAATTTTTATACAAATTGTCATGTGCATATGCAATATTTTTTTAAATATTAAACATTTAAAATATAAAATGTTACACTCAACCCTTGGATATATGGCTATATCAGCTACACATCTTACACAGAGTGTAATAATGTTCCTAACCAGAGTCACACATGCTAGTTTTGTCATAGCATGCATCGGCTTTGGTAGGGTAAAATTCTTTTAAATTCTACAAACTACCAAACAATTACAGATCAATATTATTTGCAAAAATAAGAAATAATTGACAGATTCATTAAATATAAATTATCAATCATAAAAAATAAGAAATAATTGAATTCATTAAATAATATAATTATTATCATATCATAAAAAAATAAGAAATAATTGACAGATTCATAAAATAAGAAATAATTGACAGATTCAATATTCATTATTTATTTGCATACAATTTTAAAATTTATTCCTCTTTAAGTAGAAGTCCACAGCTGGCGATGGGTCTCTCTTTGTGCTCAAGGACAGATTTGCCTAATTGTCACGCAATAGTAGGCAAATAGACATCTCACACCTTTCATGTTGCTTCCTATTGGTTTGGGTATTTTCTGTCTGGCATACACGAGATAGTAGAAGTCTTCTATCGGAAGCTACAAGATATTTCTACCATATAGCATAATCACTTACAACACAAACGAGATGAAATTATGTAATGGATTCTCTTACGCTGGCACTACCACATTTAATTATTTTAAAACACCAATAAATATTTAAAATTAGAGTTAACCATTTTTTGCATACTTACATAAATAATTGTAATGTATATTTATTCTTGGTTCTTGATACTTCAAATGTTCTTACTTGCAAATCTGAAAGTATGTTATTAGGTTAAAGCATTGCAATCTTTGGTTTTAATTTTTTTTTAAATGTGTTTATGACAAATCAGTTAAGTGGTAAAGTTGAAATCATTACTTTAGTTCATACGAACGAGACTATTTTTATATTCATCATGTTTAACATAACAAAGTTTATACTGGTTTAAATGATAAGGGAAAAATCATATTTATTTTAATTTCGTCAATGGATTTGATAAAAACCACATGCAGTTAGGTTTTTTCTAGACTTTGTAATGAATGATAATTATTGGCTTACAACAATCATCAAAAATATTGCATGCCAAGGATCATAAAAATGACATTCAATAAGAATTATTTATTACCTACATTGTATAAAAATCATTCTATACTATTCTTTAAGTAATTCGTAAATAAATAATGGGATACCCAGAAAAATGTGCAAACCATTTCAAACAACTAATATTTATTAAAAATCTCATACCAACAACCCACACTACAATATTTGTTTTTAATTAAATCATATTAAATGTCCACTGCTAGGCCTCCCCCATGAATTGCCTCACAGTGGTGATATTTGCCGTAGATGCCATGCTAAACAGGAAGGTTGGCAATTTTAGGTTTTTTTATTTCAGATTGTTGTCAAGAACATTGTGCTGCTCATCTCTTGTTTAAATGCCCCTGTCGTCTCTTACAACACCAACCCACATTAACATAATAGAATACAATGATTATCATATTTCCAATATGGGAAATATCACATTAATAATCAGTAACTTATATATAATAATGCAATTAAGGTTATGAAGAACTGTTGCTATTGAATACATTTAGTTTTATAAATATTTATTACATTATTATGTTTAGCATTCCCTTCAATTTCTTATAAAAAAAAAACTTTAATGACTTTAGCAATGTATTTAAAATGTACTTACTACACATTAAATATTGCAGATGCAAGCCATCAGTTCTGAAAAAAAAAAGAAGAAAAGATCTAAATATCCTAAACTTAAAAATATATTCTTTTACAAACTTTAAGTCCCAAAGTTATTATTGTTACATTCAACCCTTGGACGCCTTGTCAAAACAAGTAATCCTACACAGAATGTGTTTATGTTCCTAACCAGAGTCACACATGCTAGTTTTGTCATAGCATGCATCGGCTTTGGTAGGGTAATATGTTCAAAATTCATAATTTTCTATTTAATATTTAAATGAGTTCTTATAATATCTTTACTTTAGTATCTTTTTTAAATTTAACCCTAAAATATCAGATTTTAAATATTATAACCAAAAACATTACTTTTTGTACTCTTTATACATATATATATATACACAAATGAAGAGTTTACTCACATTAAAAACCAGTGATCACTTCCACTAGAAATCCTCATCTGCAAATAAAATAATATCATTATATATTTATAGTTATGCTAATATTATGGATAAAATTACAAATTTAATTTTTTCAGATCTATTGGTAATAATAAAATCATTTAATTCATACGAACGAGACTTTGACAATCATCATAAAAAAATCTTAAGGATCAAAGTATCGAATATCTATTTTCCTGTCTATGTAACTGCAATTGTTGCATTGACTTATATATTACTAGAATTGTTGACATATTGTCATTCCCATTAATTTTTAGTTTTCTATTATTGTTATTGATGTAGGAGATAGGCACTCCAGTGATTGATCATAAACAGCAAAGAAAATTGCTTCAACATTCAACCTCTGGGTAAATGCTGAATGACAATTTCAGAGAAACTGTTTACCCTTTGGTTATGAAGTGCCTGCGATTTGCTACGACGGGTGGGGGCTGCTCTCCCTCCGCACCTATGGCTTTACAAAAACACTTTAGGAGTAGGGCAGACAAGACTACGTGGATTTTAGTACAGATTCGATCAGATCAGATATCTATAGTCAGGTTGCCTTTGCTCCCGCCACAGACACAAAATTCTGTATGCTATCCAGCTTTCACAGTAATATCATATGATTTTTTCTCAGAAAGTCTAGAACCCAGAGCCATAAATTCAGTTAATAATAAAAAATGTATCACTTTTCATACTTTACATATTTAAGGTTAAAATAGTTTTTATTTTTTTGATAATATTATAATCGGTGATCAAACCTCTTACCAAATAAAACACCTTACTCCCCCAAATTCCTGCCAAACAATTCTAAATCCAACCCCCATACTCTTTCAATTACTATAATTATGGTTAACAGAGGTGGTTTGATTTGCAAGTTCTAACTTTTTTTTTATATGAGTAAGAGTGACAAACAAGCACACCTGATGGTAAGTGCATGTTGTGGCCTTCTGTGTATTATCTCAAACTATGGAATATAAAAAAGTTTCAAACATCTTTTTTAGAATTTTACATATATAACATCTTCACACCTTCTCATTTCTAAGAATGTTTTATTTCAATATAATTTTAGAACAAGACTATTGAGTATGAAAGCATAAGGTGATATGTACCTGTTAATTGTATATGGTCAAGACTGACGAGACTGTAATCAAGTTAATAACCAATTCTATATTTATGCTCTAAAACAACTCATATTCACGATATATTTAATATACACCTACTATACAACACTGTTATATTTAGTTTGGTACAAAAGAAATCTGGATCGGATAGGTGGTGCTGCATATGGCAATACATTTTTTATTTAAGTCCAGAATGAATTAACAAGTGAAAGTCACTGCACCACCTACCAGAAAAGACAGAACAATGTTTGCCAGTATGTCAATATTAAACAAGTATATTATAATGAATAGAAGTTCTTACCTTTTGGCAGTCCACCTCGTAGTTACCTGAAACATTAAACAAATTAAGTAAAGAAAAAACCACATTTACTTTAATATTTACCAGACTCACCTCATAAGAATTTTAAAAGGCTAGGTTTATTATTTGAGGGTTTAACAAACACAGTTATTTAGCTAAAAGTAATTCTTTATTTTGAAGAGTCCTTTCAAAGTCATACACTTATTCCTTGAGATACAAAACATGAATTACTTTTTGGCTGGCTTCTTGGTAGAAGTTTCTTTTTTTAGTACGGGGTTTCTTGACAGGTGTTTTGGGAATCTTCTTCTTGCCAAAGGTGCCATTACGTGCTGCCTTCATTTTTAAGCTCTTGAAAACTGGAGTTCTAATACGGTTCCGTTTAACGCGGGCTGAGCTTAACTTAAACCTGTCATAGTCGGTCATTTGGGCCCGTTTTTCTTTGTTTTCTAGCTTCTTAGCCCACTGGCTTTCAGCCCACTTCTCATTCAGTTTTTCGTCCGTCCATGCTTTTCTTACAACACGTGTAGGTGCTGTAAATGGAAACTTGAGACGGAACTTTGTCAAATGCAACTGGTTAAGGCGGATTTGTTGTCTGGGAACGCCGCTGCCGGGTCCGTCAACAAGGGCACGAGTTTGATCAATGACATCTACCACGCTGACCAATTTTCCCTTAAGTGGGCCCTCTGCTACCAGGGCTACTCGCCCTGGCTGGACGAATCTCGCGAATGGCATGACGTCCTGGAACATCATCCAATAGTTTTAATACACTCTTAACAATACAAACGTTCCTAAGCATTTTAGTAAATAAACTAGTAAATTATGCCGACAAAAACGGAAATTCACAATAAATAAAAGGGTATTTGTAAAAAAAAAGCTTTTAAAAGTGAATATTATGGATTTCAAATTAAAAAGGAACAAAGACTAGCTAGATATATGCTAAGATCACTTAGATTTACACGGATAAAAATATCCTAACCTTATCACGTCTAAGCTAACTAAAAGCACTCGTGTGAAAGACTCGTTTTTGTCAATTGATTGACAATTGTAATTCCGTTCAGAGAAATGTCAATTTTATTTCTTGCCGTGGATACTTGTGATTTGAGTGGATGTTTTGTCTATTGTAGCAAACGTAAAAAAGAGCTAAAACCATAGATATAGTATAAATACATTAGATTGGCGATGGAGTGAAATTGATTACGGTGAGACCACTGACCCCTATTGGACTGCCTATACATCATCATCATTACAGCCTTTCACAAGTCCACTACCGAACATAGGCCTCCCCCAAGTAATGCCACAAAGTATACACTGCCTATACACTGTGACATAATGAGGCGATTTGATTTTCGCCATTTTTCGTCCTCAGAACTAATAATAGCAATAAGACAGTGTGAAAAATATTATATCGATAAAAAATCTATACCCAGGCCTACCTGCAAGGTGCATTTTATTCATGTATCATATTAATATAATGCCATACAATAAATAAATGTAAGTAAGTCTTAGACGTAAGCTTTATACCCAATATATAAAACCAAGATCGACCCTGCTCTGGTCTGTCTAGGCTTTTATTCGTAACTACAGAACGGATATTGTTTTGGGTTTTCACCATTAGGTATGCTGGTTCATTCACCAAGCTTAAATATTCAGTACTGGAAAATATTCAACTGGAGAAGATAAATATACAAAATAAAAATATTTTCGCAAAGAATACGTTGTACTCTTATTAGTTTGTGGCAAAGAAGTTTTTGTCAACCTTCATTTAATTCTACTAATATTATAGAAAATTATTTACTATATTTACGCAAACACTATATATTTAATTAATACAAGTTTTTACGGATTTTATCGCGTATATTAACTTTTTTATATACCCAACGTTTCGAGTATCGAGTTTACAGCATCCATGGTCACGGGAAGACTGAGATATTCAACGTCCAAATTATGGAGTATAGAGGTAAGGAGGACAATCTCCCATAGGAGAATAGTTGAAGATGTGTCCTTGTGTAAGCAGTAAATAACATTTCAAAAACTCTCCCCAGCAGCGCTCGAGTAGCTACAGGGTATGATAAATCGCCGTAAAATACGTTGAGAGTAATTTTGAAAATAAAATTTTTGGAAGCAATAAAATTCTTATTGTAAAAAGAATTATGGTGAAAGTCTATTATGCAATAAAAAAATTATAAAAAGTTCTTTAAAATTTAGACTGTAGCTACAGTGTTTTTTCCTAAACTAAAAGTCCTAAACTAAAGTTTCTCACTTAAACACTATGGATTAGCTTAGGAGCTATTTCTCACCTACAGTTCAAAAGATAGCTTGATCTCTGCGACAGCTGTCAGTAAAAATCACGCCTATGAAGTCCTGAATTTCTTAGTAGTACAGACACACTGACCTCTATATATACGAGTACGCTGGACTGGCTATACCATACAAAATGACTGTTACAATTTGAAGCGCCGCTAAAGGATGTCTTGAAAAATAAAATTGGCATAATATGCCAAAGTCTGTTGTCTTATTTATATTGTCTTATTTAAATAAGTCTGTATTTTGAACTTTTAAACTAAAAAACGAAAGCATTTTATGGTGTATAATATTAGTTACTTAATAAGAATTATTTTTATTAATAATGAGAGTGTGCGTAATCTGCAAAACTCGTTATCAAAAGGTAAGTGGTGTAACATTTCACAAGTAAGTGAATTTGCAGCAAAATTTAAATAAATTAAAACTATTTGATAATATAAGTACTTAAAAATATGTTACTACTCTTAATATCATTTTTACCAACATGTTTGGCTATATATTACTGAGTTTTGATAAACAATAAAATTCAATAGGGTTGTCGAGTTCCTTGTCTATAATACTTATTGATGTTATTTCCTACCAATATCTGTTAACAAACAAAGTCGCCAACAACAGATGATTATCAAATGTTTATTAATTAACAGGTTTCCAACTAAACCTAGACTAAAATTATGGCTTATAAGCATAAATATTGTGAATTGGCGCCCGAAACAAAATGATCATATTTGTTCCAAACATTTTACAGACGACTGTTTTATTAGACATGGGAACTGCACCACTTAGAAAAAGTCCAGTATACTGACAATATTTTCTGGTAGTACGAGTACCAGTAAGTATAAAAGTATTAGATTATTATTTAGAATGTTTTTTTTTATTTCTTATTTCCTAATTTTCCACCAAACTCAAGGGCCATAGCCAAGTGTCGAAAGGTCGCCTGATGATGTCGAGCCAAGTTGGATGTGTGTTAGTGAGCTGCGGCTAGAGGAGATTCCTCTCCCTGTACCGCTGTATTTGAGGTAGAGTAGTAAGGGAAGAGGAGTGTTGGTATGGCGATTGGCGATGTGCCACTCGACTATCTTTCGCGACTTTGGTGAGGCTGCACCACTTGATGCTTCCAAGTGCTCGTTTTTCCCTGGTTCCATTCACATGTCGGGCTCGGGGAGTCCGGAGTGCAGGTGGAGTTAGAGGCCGCGAAGGGCAGTGTAGCTTGTGTTTCTGGTGCGCCTTATCTGAGAATGAAAACGGGGAGGAGAAGTCAGCAACTAAGGAGGGGCTGCCATTGGGCGGCTGGCGCCAGAGGGGCCGCGGATGTGCATGTAAGCGTTTCCGTGGCCTTGCTAATTTGCGGCGGAGGTAGAACACCATGGGGTTTTAGTAAGTGCGATCTAGAGATTTAATTGAACTGTTATTTACTGCTTATAGAAGGACAATCTCAACATTCTCCTATGGGAGATTGTCCTCCTTACATCTATACTCGATGCTCTACACTCCATAGCCCAAATGTCATAGTATGGAGTGTAGAGATAAGGACAGACAGATACGATACGGACAGACAGATGTAGAGATACGGACACTTTTTTATACAGATTTTGTATAAAAAAAGTGTCCGTAGGAAAGCGCTAAATAGGTGGCGCTACTGTAGCTACAGTCTAAATTTTAAAGAACTTTTTATAATTTTTTTAATACATAAAAGACTTACACAATTACTATTTTTACTTTAATTATTTTATTGCTTTCAAATTTTTTATTTTCAAAATCACTGTCAACGCTTAATGCTATATATTTTCAAGAAGGACACATTTTCAACTATTCTCCTATGGGAGATTGTCCTCCTTACCTCTATACTCCATGTGCCATAGTTAACCGCGGTTACCACCGATTTAAAAAAAAATAATTAAAAAAATTAATCTGTGGTAAACGCGGTTAACTACGAACGTTGAACATCTCAGTCCCCCAGTGAACATGGGTGCTGTAAAGTACTCGAAATGTCGGGTATATAAAAAGTCAATATACGCGATAAAATCCGTAAAAACTTGTATTATTTAATATTAAAGAAAATAAATTAGCTGCTAAAATAACACATGTTATTGTAATTATTTACCTATAGCGAAAATAAAGAAAAAAATAATGTTTGTTTGTTCGTATTTTATTCGTGACCATACCGTTCATCAGAGAAAACCATGTCATTTTATTGTTTGCACTTGCTCGAAGGTTATAGGCATAGTACAATCAATTAACTGATTATTTATTTGACAGTTGATCATGCAATTCAAGGACGGTATTATAATTCCTAATTAAACAATACAACTCCTCAAAAAAAAAAAAAAAAATACGTGTGGCACTCGGTGACTGCCGCGGTAAAGTTATTGCATAGCATTTTTTATCAACTTATGCAATTATAATTATTTATTTATTTTATTTATGCAGTTAAGTCTTTGATATTAAATCAAGTTACACTTTTTGAGCGTGGTGACCGATAAGAAAACAATTTTTTTTCTCTTATTGAATAAATGAGAAGTTAATATTGTTTAAAATATTTTTAATATCTTACAATACATGTAGGTTATTCAGGAATTTTTATCATTGAGTTAGCAGCTAGTGTACACGCATACGTCTAGTCGCACGCACACAAACACCGTGCCGAAGTCTGCCGAACTGAAACGACGTTAGACGACGCACGGCTTTCAACGCCACACCTCCGTGCCCGTCGGAGTGGGGAGCGTGAGGTTTTTTCGTTACGGAATTTCTGGATTCGGTCCCCGCGCTCAAGGCCCGCGATAGAAGCTATACAATAGCTTAAAAATAAAATTACCTGCAGTATTGTTTTCAAAATACTTTCATGTTTACTGGTCGACTTTTTCAAGTCTACTTTCCACCATAGTCTGTTGCAAATAATACAAGAATGACCGAATGAATTACTCGTAAATTCTTTATAAAAATCAATATTACTTGTACTGTGTTTACGATAATTTGTATAAACTGGATTAGTACTATCATCAATAAAATCCATAGTATTTTCACCAATTCGATCTTCTCTATCAATCTCAATTTCATTTTCATGATTGTTATGGTTATCTTCGGTAGGATCTTCATCATAATTATCACGCAATAGTTCAATATTGGCATCAACATGGGCTTCATTTTGGGTATCGTCTTGTACTGTCTCCAATAAATCTGATACTTCATAAAAAGGTGTGAAATGTTGTTCACGAAGATGAAGATGAATCCAGTTTTGTGTATCATTCGCTTTAAAATGACAAAAGATAGTGTCTTCGTTCGTTGTAGTTATGTTGTAAAAACAATAATGTACACAAATATTTTGATTGTACATTTTTGAGAATAAGTACAAACAATCCAAATCTCCGTAATCATTACTGCTTGATAGAATGTTATATGCTTCTTGCGGATTGTGGCAGGAGTTTAAATAGGGTGAATCGCGTAACTGATTTCTCAAGTCACAACTCTGAATTTGAAGTTGCAAAACACTTATGAGCGAGTGGAATAGACAATTACCATCGCCAGGAATTCCTGTGTTTCTGTGTAGAATAACTTCGGGAGTAATGCATTCATTACACTATTCATAAAAATGAAGTTGTTGGCTGTGAAATTGATTTTCTTGTAGCGTTACATTTTCTATATTTTCAACAGCGCTACATTGCACGATATTCTCTTCATTACTGCACAATTTTCGTCCTTTTCTGTAAAAAAATGATGAAATCGTTAAATTAAATAATATTGAAGCATATATTACAATTTGTTTTTAAATAAATAAATAAAAAATATTATTATTAAATCAAATTACATATCCATGTAACGTTGACGAAATTTCCTTTGACGTTCAGCATGATTTTGGTACTGTTTTTAGTTCTTCATTTTTCTTCAAATCTTTCTGACGCTGATAATATGCCCTTTGACGTGCATTAGTTTTTTTTCTTTTTAGCTCTTTACGCTTTTCTTCTCTAAAAACGAAAATATCTAGGTAGAAATAATAGGTATAAATAATTTGTATAAATAGTGTAATGACACACCAAAACAAAATTATTCATTTAAAAAAATAACGATATTAAGAAGTGATTATCGAATTTCGCGTGAAGTACATTTATGTAGATATATCATATATACTTTCTCTGCGCGGCATTCATGTGCATTATCTATACACCAAAAACAAAGGTACTGAATAGTACACGTGCTTGGTTCGATGGCTTCTGTTATATACATAATGAAGAATGAATTATATATATATATATATATATATATATATATATATATATATATATATATATATATATATATATATATATACACATCCTGTAACTTATTGTACGTCCACTATGGCCAATTTTACATATAATGTGACGTCAACCTGCTTACGACGTCCAATATACGGACGCCAAATAGGAGACTTAGCGCAATGTTCGCGAATTGTCATACTGATCACAGAAATGTCAAAATCTAAAAAAAAAATTGGACGTCATTTTTCTTCCAATCTTGCTGTACTGAATATTTACGTAGTCCCGCTAATTTTCGTTGAAAAAATAATAGCGCTGTTCTCGATTTGTGAATACTTTCATTTATGGCCGTATTTGACTTCCGCACAAAAATTAGGAGATGCGACGTTGCCGTTCCGTCACCGTTGCCAACGTGTTACTTGTATTTGGTGATATATGGTTATGACTGCCTCGTTGGTCTAGTGGTTGTAGTAGTGCTACTGCTGATCGTGAGGTCCTGGGTATGAATCCCGGGTCGGGCCAAAAAATCAATTATTGAGTTTTTCTGTCAAAAAATTCTCAATAGCTGCCCGGAGTCAGGAAGTTGGAGGTGTATCACCCTCGTGCCTCGGAAAGCACGTAAAGCCGTTGGTCCTGCGCCTGATCTCTCTCCGGTCGTGTCGGTTTACCGTCCCATCGGATTATGAGAATGAGGGAATAGAGAGTGCACCTGTGGTTACGCATACACTTGGGCATGGGCACTATAATCCTGTCCTGCGCCGATGGCTAGTCTCCGTTGAGGATGGCCGCCGTGACCGTATTTCGGTCTGCAGGACATTATTATATGGTTTATACTGAGCTTGGTACTAATAATTTTACTTTTAAACCTGTTTTTTTAACCTTACATTTACCTACACATAATATGGACATCCGAATAACCTAAAACTTTCACACTCAATAATATTTGACACCCGTTTTTTTGAATTTAGTTATATTTCTATAAATGTAGATGCGGACGTCGGCTTATCGGTTTATTTCATGCTGCACTATATTTTAACATTTTACATTTGGTACTAATCTGCCTAAAAGAACTCTTGTTAGGTATTTCGTAAGCAACCCATTATTCTGTTTTATTGTAAGTTACCTTCTGATTGAGTACAGGAAGATGGACTCAATTGTAGATATTGACAGGTTTCATAGAAGTTTGTTTCAGTACAAACAGACAGACAGACAGAGTAAAAATTTTTAAATTATGTTTTTGTTGTAAGTACCGTATATACTTTCATATACGTTTAGTGAAAAACTATTATTTTGACATTAGAAACAGACGTTTCAATTTTATTTATTTGTACACTCGTAGACTAAAATCAAACATAACCGAACTACACCAAAATATTTCATTGTTTCGTTTAAAAGTTTAAAATACAGAGAGACAATTTGAATAACACAACAGCCTTTGGCATAATATGTCAATTTTAGTTCCCGGTACGCCCAATGGCGGCGTTTTAAATCGGCACAAAATTTTGTAGAGTATAGCTAGTCCAGCGTATTTTTGTAATAATGTCAGTGGGCTAGACCAAAATCAAAACACACCAGTATGCGTGAAATATTCACGTGAAGGAAGACAAATAATGCTGGTGCTGCACCATGCAGTGCCTGCCTCAACTTAAATTATCTACACTGATTGTAGTATATTCGTTTCTTCTGATTTGTCGCAGATGATGTAAGTTAATATTTTTACCCGATCACGGCGAAGTCAAAAGGATGGTTAAGATTTTAGAACGTATGTATACATAGACTTAGAATATATAGACAGCTTTAGTGTGCAAAATAGAAGAAAATTCCTTATAGCAAAAATGCAAGTTAGAAAAGGATAGTAAATCTCATGACTATATAACCGATTTTGAATGACAGGTCAGCACAATTCGTCATGCAAGGATGACTGTCATTCAAAGTCTAAGCTTTTAGATATTTTGTCATTTTTAGAGCATAATATTGATTATTTTTGTAATTAATAGTTTTCAAAAATAGTTACATATTCTGTAAGTGACTGTGGTGTCAATAATAAAAATAATTCTGATAGTTGCACAATTCACATTTAAATTCGCAAGACGTCATTACTGTTATAATGCGTCTATTTCTGGATAAAATTTATGTTATATACTGTTTAAAATATAGGATATTGTCAATTATTTTATTAATTTTGATATTTTGCAAAGAAAAAAGTCACAATTTGCATGATATTAGTAAACTCATTCACACAAAAAATATTTTAGACGTACGGGATTGACTCAACTATAATATCAAAATAAATGTTGATATTTATTATCTTGAATGTTTATAAAGAATCGATGGACTTGTCTACACAACAAAAAGAGGAATTAAATTAAATGCTCGATATGCGTTCTTAAAACGTAATTTTATTTTGCCGTTTATCAAACAGAATCTGTTAATAGAAAAAATTTGAAACTATCCTATTTAAGCCACTATGAACCCAACTCCAGTCCCGTGTAGTGGTGGGTAAGAATACCCACTACCCCATATCAACCCGTGGGTGTCGTAAGCGGAGGGAAACTAAGACAGAAGATGGGCAGCTACATCTTTCTGATAACAGCAAAAATCAATAAAAAACTGCGGCTGCCAACCCGCTCGCCAAGCGTGGCAACTATAGCAATATGGGGTATATTGCTATAGTTGCCATGAGAAACGTCACAAAAGCCCCCAGTCCCCGGTGGCCCTGCTATTCCTGGCTACGGTGGTGACCATGATAATGGCGGGGCAGGGGTTGCTAAGAATCTCCGGTGGAGGTTTGGCTGCCACCTAAGATGACTCGACCTATCAACGTATAATGCACGCACCCTGAGGACTGACGAGAAGATCCTGAAGCTGAAAGAAGAGATAGACAAATTGCGCTGGGGTAGTATAGGATTATCTGAGGTCCGAAGAGAGGGAGAGGACGCGGTGATCCTCGAATTCGGCAGCTTGTTCTATCACCGGAAAGGTGACCATCTGTCCCAAGGAGGTGTCGGTTATCGTTCACAAGTCTCTCGTCAACAACGTTGTAAAATTGGGAGTGTGTCGATGAGGGCTGCGTACCTTATACTCAGAATCACCAAACGGTATTCGCTGAAGGTCGTACAGGTTTACGCACCAACCTCGGCACATCCCGATGAGGAGGTAGAGGAAATGTATGAGAATATCTCTAGAGCCATACATTCCTCCAAAACCCACTATACGGGGTTAGTGGGAGACTTCAACGCTAAACTAGGCACAAGATTGATCGGTGAGCTGAAAGTAGTGGAATTCGGAATACGGCATCGAAACCGACTTTATGAAAAAAAAGGGACTCTTTATGATGAACTCTTTCTTCCAAAAGCGGCCCCACAGAAAGTGGACCTGGTCGAGCCCCGACAGTTTGTTCACAATTCGTATGTAATCAGATCAATATAAAGTGTTTTAATTTTATTTGTGAACAATAGATGTCGCTAGTAGTTGATTACCTCGCGATATGATTCGATGTATGTTAATTACATAAGGCGTTTTGTGTGCTTTTTAAAAAAAGTAAACGATATCGGAGGAAAGTAATATACATACCTAATCAAGATATCTGTTGGTTTTATTTAAAAGTACCAATAGATATTTAGCCCACTACGTGCGACCGTATTCATGGTCCCTCGAGCCGGATGGAACTGTCAAGGACAGATTTTTGTAATCGGTGGTTCCTAATTGGAATCACCCCCCCCCCCCGCAACCAGAAGTAGCGGATTGCTACTTATAAGGTGTGGCGGTACTGGCTCATAGAAGTCGGTAAGAAGCAGTCGTCACGGTGGGCGGAAGTTGTTTAATAACAGACGGCAGGCGGTGTTTCAGTGGAAATCGTCAGGAGAGGTGCGCGGGGAGGCGGAAAGGTGAAGTTACAGTGAGTGAAGTGATTGTTTACTGCGGAAACAAGAGTGAGTGGAGCAACCAATCGTGAGTACAATTTCGGTAATTTAAACCTTATGTGCAATTGAAAAACAGTTCATTTAGTAGTTTAGACTTAGAGTAATTTTAAGAAATTTGGTTCATACGAGGAATCTATGCCCAATTTCATTTCAAGTCAAAAACACTTGTAAAATTTTATAAATTTATTAATAGGACTTAGCAAAATTTTTGTGACTTAAAATAAACTTACATAGGATATATATATATATATATATATATATATATATATATATATATGGCTTAAATTAGGAGGTTTTTTTGATTTCAATTACCTCGCGAATAATCCTTGGATGGAATTAGTGTTCTTTAGCGAGGATTCAGCTATATGTTTATGTTAACATAAACGATTCTTCACATTAGCTATATGTTTATGTTAAC